TCAATTAGTAATAATATTTTGGTAGTGTGATGCTGGAGCCCGTTTTTAAAGGTAAACAGTCATTTTCATCAGATTTTTTTTCATCATGGGGAGAAAGCCAGTTTTGTCCTCACCACTGCCATTTTATGGGCTGAAGAAAGTGAGGTAAAAAGCCACAGCTTTCTCATTCCTCTGCAACAGTACTAACTAAAGGGTAATTGCTCAAGCCCACGTTTATGGTTATGGAGCCCCTGAGGTCAGCATCTCCCTAACCTGCTTGGCCTGGCTACTCCCACCATTGAGTGGCCAGTGGGGCTGGACCCCCTTCAGGGGTGAAAGCAGCATCTAGCCACTTGGGAAAGGTGGGTGCTTCATGCTGGATAAGGCTTGGCTGCCCTCCACACGTGCATGCCTCCCTCTGCAAGTCACTTCTCTCAGTCTGGCCGATAACCCATCTTGGTCTTCCCATCTTCCACAGTGGGAAACCAACGTGCAGGCTGCCCGGAGGCTGAAAGCTCAGAGTTTTCTCCAGGAAGGGGAGGGAAGTTGCAACACAGCCTTGAATCGAGCCTCCCAGGTCCCAGGTAAGCGTGCAGGCACCCCAGCTGGTGCCTTACCTCAGCTGGATAAGGCTGCAAGCCACCTAGCTGAACTCTGAACTTGGAGCATGGGTTGGACTAGATGGTCTCCTGAGGTCCCCTCCAGCCACAGTTATCCCACGATTCTGCAACCGAAAAGCGTGATGCTGCCTGCAGGTTGGTGACAAAGGAACATGGGGCTCAGGCTGGGGAAGCCATCAGTGATGGTGGCTTTCACCTCAAGCTCATCACATCAGCAAAGCACCTCAATGGGTCATGGAGGGTGTGTGCGAAGAGGCCCCCACGTGCAGTACATAGCCAGGTAAGGGACTAAGCGACCTCAAGACAGCGGATTTGGAAAAATATGCAACAGACAGATTAACAAATTGATAGTATTTACTACTGCCTGCGTTGAAGCAAGCCTTGCCCACTCTTTAGCTGACTTGCAAGTGTCAATGTATTTTTCCTTTTCCACTTCTCAGCTTCCAGGACTGGCCAGGAAAAGGTACAGAAGATCTGAGTTCACACCAAGGCTTGAGAGCAAGAGGAAGCAGCACCATGGTTTTAACGTAGATGGCACAGACCAGGCACGCTCTTTAGAACGCAGTGCGACTCTTAACGCCCTGCAAGCACCGAGGACTCAAGTCATTTTCCCCATAGCCCATTCACTTTCACCGCCACCCATCAGGTAACATTTACAGAGGTTTTTGAGTGGGGACAGGGGGGAAGAGGACTGGGGTTGGGGTCTTTTTTTCCAGGCAGCTCATTCTCTCACCTAAGTCCCAAGATTTAAGGTGATTTAAGCACTTAAGGATTAAAGGCGTTTTAACAGCTTATATTGCTTTAAGGATCTAAGGTGGCTTAAACGCTTATGCTACTTTCAGGGGTTTAAAGCGGCTTAACTGTCCATGCCACTTGATGAATTTACGGGAGCTGAAAAGCCTATGCTCCCTTTAAAACAATAAAAACGTACCTTAAAAACATCATTGTGTTTTAAGAGTGCCGTCCTGCTTGGCTCCCCCAGGTCGCACCAGGTCGCTCAGGGCTTTATCCTGGAGGGTGCCCAAACCCTCCAG